TTTTTTTTTTACTTTTTGCCACAAATTTTTTCTGAAATATATCAACAAGAATTACAATTTTTTAAAGTTGTTTTACAGCACTTCCACCACCGCCATCATAAATACGAAACACTGTTGGCTGAAAAGTGTCAGGTCAAATGAAGTAATTTGAGCAATAGAAAAATTTTGCTGTTTTTTTTTATGCAAAGAATTAAAATAAAAAATAAAATAAAGCTAAATAATATAAAAAAAGTTTTATTAGAGTTTAAAAAAATAAATTTATTGCATTTTTGAAAGACTTATACTGAAAGGTTGAAAAATGAGTTTGTTTTTTCTGTTCAGGTCAACAACACTGTTTAAGCCCTTATTCGTCATTATTGCTTACGACTTGAATTCAATGAATATAGCAAAAAAAAAAATAAAATAAAATAAAATAAAATAAGGATAAAAAAAAGTAATAAAAGGAAACGCTTAATTTTTAACAAAAAATCGTTGTTCAAAAAGCGTTGTTGGTAAATAGCGGAAGTAATTAAATTGTAAAAATCAAAAGAAATCCTAATCAACAGGTTAATTGAACATACATTTTTTTTTCAACTATATGCTTTTCGGCTTCTACTGCACAGGAAAATGGGCTTCAAACGCAGACAAAATGTTGAACAAAGTAAACAAGTTTTTTTTTTTTCATTGAAAAAATCTCCTTGCTTTTTGACCAACTTTAACATTATACTTTTTAGAAACGTGCAAAAAAAAAAATCAGTAAAAGGCAGATAAATATACGGGCAACAAACTGAATCTTTTTATACAATTTTATTCAAAAATAATTCTTTTGTTCTTTTATCTTCCAAACACAATGTTTTTTTTTCTTTTAATATTATTATCATACAGAAATGATTATCATTTAGTTGCCAAATGTAACTGTAATTGTTAGACTGGTCGACTTGAATAACGCCAAATCAATTTGGGAATTGAGAAGATAGATGGATGTGGAATAGTGCTGTAACAGTTAGCAGTTACCTTCATGTGTTTTCGAAGCGATGAGGGGTGCGTGTATGATTTGTTGCAGCCATCTATTTTACAGGAATACGGTTTATCGTTGGTGTGCACATGCATATGCTTTTTACGATCGCTACTGTTTGCAAATTTTCGTCCACAGTTTGGATGCTTACAGCTAAACGGTTTTTCACCTGAAAAAAAAAAAAAA